GTGTTAAAGGCTGTTTAGAGACAGTAAAACTTTCGCAGGGCCATTTATATGTAGAAGACCTTTTAAGGGGCCACAATATCCACTTCTATTATTCCTAAAATGTCTCAACAAAAAAAAAAAAAAAAAAAAAAAAACACAGGTTGTAGCTCTAAAAATCCACATTCACGTCTCTTATGGCCCTCTTTCTTAAAAATGAATATTAATTTACGCGGAAAATCCAGCAGATTATGAAAGTAGAGTTAAAAAGTAAAATGGTATCAGTCGGTTTTGTAGACATATGTATGCCCCCCGCCTTGAGTTATGATTAATCAAACTGTTGACCCTTTATGGGGGAGGTTCCGAAGCTGCTGTCCATATTGACCAATTCGTATCTGACCTAAGACTGATATAAATATTACAACGTGCCAAATTTGGACTACATCGATTACTTCCTATATTTATATGAGATATGTGCGAATTTTTGGAAAATATAGAAAGTATTCCATTCTCATACTTCACCTAATACAGATACAAATAATAAATACCAGAAGGAGTAGACCGATATACCATTTTCGCACCGGACCTTTAAACATATTGTGATGTGTGTAATTTGAAGAGAACCAGATGCTTATTTCGCATTTTATGATCGTTTTGGTTATTCACACTGTTCATGGGAAAAGCGCTACAAGCGCAGCACTAATGTTCGCCCTCGAAGGCAATTCCCATGTACGTCGTCTCTCCTTTTTTTCTATACTGGCAATGCCATATCACTGGTTCTGCTTTGATCAATATTTTCCTGCTCTCTTGCTCTCAGAGTAAGAACAAGGGTTCGATGAGAAGAAGAAGAATCAGCATCTTCTATTAGTTTTCGAAGTTTTTTATCATTGTCGTTTTTTTTGCCTTTGACCAAGAAGGTCGTTAAAATAAAATTGTGCCCAGAATTGTACAAAACAATAAAAGTGAAGTAAAAATTATTGTGCGTTTTATTGTAAAGCAACGATCGACACAGTGGTAGCAGACCGTATTGAGACATAATTTGTTGAGGCTGCAAAGGAACCCTTGCACAAGTAGGAGCATTTACCCGAGCCAGAAGTGCAGGTAACCAGTCGATCAGGGAAATTGACTCCGTGGTGACCGACTGTAGCAAAGTTGTCCCGTCAACATCTGGTCCTTCTCAACCGGCAATTTGGAAAAAATAATAAAAGTAAGTACCGGCAATTTTTTGAGGAAAAAAAAAAATTGGAATTGTGGTGAAGAGCGAAAACTGGATCTATTGTCGTGGTCCCGTTACATAACCTTGCTAAAAATATTCAAGGGTAGCTAAGGTTATTGACTCATTTGGTACCGTTGGAATATTTTTGGAGCCTTGCCGCTGCCTTACTCTTTGGCCCTTGATTGTGTTGTTGTTTGTAACAGCACTTTGTTTATTTCTTTGCCTGCCTTCTTGTGGACTATACAGCATTGTTGTTGTACTTTTTTGTGGCTCGCTGTTTGTGTGCTTGCCGTTTGCCTGTAAATCTACATAATAGGCAAAATTTCTTCGCCTGTCATAACATACAAAGCAGTGTTGTTGTGCATTGGTGGCGCGCTGTCCGTACGTTAGACGCACTGGCATTGTTTATGTTGTTGGTGGCTCGCTGCTTGTGCGTTGGTGGTTCAGCACTTGTGCGTTGGCTGCTATGCAGTGTTGCTGTTGCGCCGTTGCTGTTTATGATTTGGTGGCTCGCAGCTTGTGCGCTGGTGGCTCTGCATAGTTGTTGCATTGTCTCTATCTAATTTGGTTGGGCTCTATTGGTGTTTTTGTCATTGGCGGCTGCCCTGACTCATATTCATTTGCATTGATTTTGATTGCTAGTGTATGAAGAACTATATTTTCTCGAAGGAGATAAGACGAAGCAAACAATAAGTGGAAAGAGTAACATTGACTCTTTGGTTATCCACCTTATTAGAAGAAAACAAAAAAATTATTGCTACATACACAGTGGTGTGTAACGGCGTAAAATAGTGAAGGTAAAGTTTGGAATTACTTTACACAATAAAAGAAGAGCAATTTTGTTGTTAGTGGATTTTGCCCTTTTGTATATTCGACTCTGTGGGTCAGAGGCATCTATTTGTAATATAGAGACTTGCTCAAAAAAAAAAAGAAAAAAAAAATAAAATCTCTAATTGAGAAAACATTGACAATTCATTGTTGGAATGAACATTATGTGGACTGTTTGTTGGCACACCATTAAATAATTTGCTCGTTTAAAACTTTACAAGAAGTACAAATTAAAGTTTTTAAATCTTACTCAATTATTGGGGAATAGATATAGTGGAGCAATCGTTCTCAATTTATGATTGATAAATGCTGAAGTTTTATCGTCGGTCTGTAAAATAACTTGCTCGTTTGGAGACTTACGGAAGACGTTACAAACATTCAAAACTCAAGGGTACGGTTGTTGAGTGCTCTTGTCTGCTGAGATTGGACGTTTTATTGTGAACTTTTTGGAACAAATTGTTCGGAAATTAGAATAGAAACCTTCCTCTGGAGGAGCAGTGGACATTTCCCCATCAATAATTTTTCGAGATTATCGCCTTCGAATTTTTTGCTAGATCGAAAATTTTAAGCTTGCTCGATGAAAATGGCAAGTCTAGAAGACTTTTTGAATAAATGTGAGGAAATTATTTCTTTTGAAGAAAATTTAAAGGAGACTGATTCCTCAGGGTTCAACGATTCTGCAATTGATGTTGAAAAATCAGAGCTTCACAGTTTGTGGACAGAATGGAGGGAAACCCTGAAAGCTTGTACCTCTGACCCGGAGAGCTATAAGAAAAATAAGGAGACCATAAAAACTAATAAAAAACTTGCTCATCAGAGTTACGTTAGGTGCATTAACATCTTGGGGGAATGGAAGGAAAAAGTAAAGGTTGTACCAATTGCTCAAAACCAAAAAGTGTCTGCCTCAATTTCAGTCCCGCCGTGTGACACGGAGGTTTTTCATGGGGACTATGTGTCATGGCCCAGTTTTCGCGATTTGTTCACGGCCATTTATATCAATAATAAAAAACTTAGCTCTGTCGAGAAACTTTACCATCTGTTCCAAAAAACAAGTGGAGAGGCAAGAGAAATAAATCGCCATATTCCGTTGACAGCCGAAGGTTTCTCTATTGCTTGGGACAATTTGAGGAACCAATATGAAAATAAGAGAATTCTAGTAAATACTCAGCTGCGGAATTTATTTAATCTTGCTCATTGTGGGCAAGAATCGGCATGTGGCCTAAAGAAACTGCAACGAGACGTTACTAATTGCATAGCGGTCCTTGAGTTATATAAAATTGATGTGAAGTCATGGGACCCTATATTTGTCTATCTGTGCTCTACGAAAATGCCGAAACTTACTCTTTCTCTATGGGAGCAGTCTTTGCATAATAAGACAGAAATGCCTCACTGGGATGACTTGAATAAATTTCTCACGGAGAGATTTAAAGCATTGGAAAGTGTGTCAGATATAACCTGTTCGAATGGGGTACAAGTAGGACAAGGTTCTCGCCCAAAGCACAATCAATATGAAAAATTGAGACAGTTTAGAGTCCACCATACCAAAGTGAATGAGAATAAATGCAATTTGTGTAAGGACACTCACCCCTTGAAATCTTGTCCGAAATTCCTAAATATGGACTTCAGAAATAGATTAAATATCATTAAAAGGGAAAATCGTTGCATTAATTGTATGGCATTGGGCCATCGAGTGGTGGACTGCCGGTCTCAGGGTTGCTCTAAATGTAAATCAAAGCATCATAGTCTTCTTCATAAGAATACAATTACTCAAGGTAATGATGCAAACTCAACCAACACCTCAGATTTGTCTCAAATGTCGAATGTGAGTCCAAATATATCTTCGGGTCCAACAACTCTATCTAATCCTCGGGCCTTCCATACCTCTGTCTCAAATAGAACAATGCTTGCCACAGCATGGGTAAACATTTTAAGGAATGGAATTCCATACAAAGTTCGTGCGCTAATAGACCCTTGCTCGGATGACTCTTTTATTTCCTCTCGGTTGCAAAAAATGCTAAAGTTACCAACAAGCCTTGTCTCTGCCGAAATTTCTGGTTTAGGCGGTCAACATCTAACGAAATGCTCGAAAATAGCATCTATTAGAATTGGTTCGGTGAAAAATATTTCTTTCACGCTAGACTTGGAGGCCTTCGTGGTCCCAGAAATAACGGGAAATATACCCACACAGCCTTTGGATAAGATTCGTATGGACGAATTACCGGATCTAGATTTTGCGGATCCAACGTTTTATCGAGGTGGCCAAGTAGATGTATTGCTCGGTGGAAACATTTACCCAATTATCTTGCTCAGTGGAGTTAGGAAAAATATCTTTGGCTCACTTTTAGCTCAAGAGACCGTGTTTGGGTGGGTATTGACTGGCCCAGCAACCAATTTGCTCTATCCGACTTCAATGAGTGTTTCCCATTGCACTAGAGTGTCAGTGCAAGACCAGCTAGCTAGGTTCTGGGAAATTGAAGAGGTTCCCAAGGTTTCAACTACCTCGATAGAGGAACAGAAGTGCGAGGAAATTTTTCGATGTACGACTTCCAGAGGCTCTGATGGAAGATATACCGTGAACTTGCCCTTTAAAGACGATCCTCCTTTTTCTTTTGCATCAAAGTCCAGCCGATACGTTGCTCTTACTCAATATTTGCGGAATGAGGCGTCGTTACTGAGAAATCCAAAACGAAAATCGGATTATGATGAGGTGATTTTAGAATATTTGTCTCTGGGACATATGGAGAAGATAGAACACTTTGTAAACTACGAGGACTGTTTTTATTTGCCTCATCATGGCGTTTTTAAGCCTGAGAGCGTGACTACGAAGCTGAGGGTAGTCTTTAATGCTTCATGTGCCTCGGTTAATGGCAAAAGCTTAAATGATGTGTTGTATGTTGGACCTTCCCTTCAAAAAGACATTATCTCTCTGGTATTAAATTGGCGCTTATACAAATATGTATTTAATGCAGACATTTCTAAGATGTATCGTCAAATTTTGATCAATCCATCACATGCTAAGTACCAGCGTATTCTGTTCAGAACTTGCCCAGACGAAGAAGTTTCTGATTACCAATTGAAGACGGTAACATTTGGTGTCAATTGCGCCCCATACTTGGCTCTTAGAACTCTTTTAAAATTGGCGGATGACGAAGAGTATCGTTTTCCAATTGGCTCAAAAATTCTAAGAAATAATATGTATGTCGATGATGCTTTGGTAGGCGTTCATACTGTTTCTCAGGGGTTGAAAGCGAAGGAAGAATTGATAGAAATTCTTGAATCAGGTGGATTTGAGCTTCGAAAGTGGACGTCCAATTCCAAAGAAATTCTGAAGGGTCTGGCTCGTGAAAAACTTTTAAATGAGGAATTTCTGGAGCTCGGCGACAAAAGCTCTGCAAAGACGTTGGGTATTCGGTGGAACGCCTCGGTAGATAGTTTCTACTTTGTTATGGACAAAATTCCAGAAAGAAATTCGTATTCTAAGAGGCAAGTGTTGTCCATTATCGCAAAGATTTTTGATCCTTTGGGTTGGCTTTCCCCAATTATAATAACTGCGAAGATTCTCATGCAGCAATTATGGCTCGATGATGTTGGATGGGATGACCCCCTAAAGCCACATACTTTATTAAGCTGGAAGAACTTTGTCTCAACTTCCGTTGGAATTGAAGAAATTAGAATACCAAGGTGGGTAAATTACTCTGCTGACTGCAATGTTCAATTACACGGGTTCAGTGATTCGTCGGAGTCGGCTTATGCAGCAGCGTTGTATTTGAGAGTTGAAGTGGGACATAATATTTTTTCGAATTTGCTCGTTGCGAAATCTAAAGTTGCCCCTTTGAAGAAGATGTCGCTACCTCGATTAGAGCTCTGTGGCGCCTTGCTGCTTGCGGAGTTAGTAGATTCAGTTTTGCCTCAATTGGATATTCAAAAGACATCTTTGTTTGCTTGGTCAGACTCGACTATTGTACTAGCTTGGCTCAAGAAACCATCATACTCTTGGACAACGTTTGTCGCAAATAGAGTTTCTATTATCCAGGAGAAAATAGGAAGTGACTGGCATCATGTTCCTACGGATGAAAATCCGGCAGATCTGGCAACCCGGGGGCGGACTCCTTTAGAAATAAAGGAGAGTGGTCTGTGGTGGCATGGACCATCCTGGCTCAAATCGCCCGAAAATAGATGGCCGTCTGGTGTGGTGATATCTGAAACAATATTGGAGGCTAAACATATAAAAGTTCATTTTGCTCGATCTGCCGTGGAGGAAGATATATTAGAACGATTTTCTTGTCTATCCACAGCAACTCATGTTGTAGGGCACATAATTCGCTTTTTCAACCGAACGCACGGGAAAGCCAAGAAGACAACGTGTTTTGATACCGTAAGGTTGTCAGCGGATGAAATTAGTTTTGCCCGACGCCGTTTGATGTCTGTGTCACAGAGAATCCATTTCCCCTCGGAATATGATTGCCTCCTTAAAAATCAGAAGATTGAGTCTGGGAGCCCTCTTTTGTCACTAAACCCTTTTCTCGACAAAGACAGCCTTATTCGAGCCAACGGAAGGTTGAGTTCTGCCCTTTCAATATCGTACGATGAAAGGTATCCAATTATTCTGGCCCATAAGAGCAGATTCGCTGCACTGTACGTTGACTTTGTTCATCGTCTTACCAACCATGGTGGCATTCAGCTAACTCTGGCTACTACACGCCTCGAATGCTGGATCATAAGAGGCCGGAACTTGGTGAAAACTCGTTACCGAAATTGTACGAAGTGCGTTCTGGCTCAAAAGAAACGACAAACACAGCTAATGGCTGCCCTTCCTCCAGAACGGACTACAATATCCCGACCATTTTCCACATCTGGGGTAGATTTCGCTGGCCCGGTGGAAATTAAGAATTTTAGTGGTAGAGGCTGCCGCATTTCGAAAGGTTATATTTGTCTGTTTGTTTGCTTCGCCACCAAGGCGATCCATTTGGAACCGGTCAGCGACCTTTCAACCCCGGCGTTTATCGCCGCTCTTGCTCGATTCGTTGCCCGGCGTGGTTGTCCCCGTCATATATACTCGGACAATGGTAAGAATTTCGTGGGTGCTGATCGCGAAATACGATCCAACCTCATGAAGATTATATCAGAAACCAGAGACGATTCTGTTACTCGATACGGGTTTCAGAAGTTAGAATGGCACTTTAATCCTGCCGCAGCTCCACATATGGGTGGCCTGTGGGAGGCAGGGGTTAAAAGTTGCAAAATGCACCTGAAGAAAATCTCAGGGCAGATACGACATACATTCGAGGAGCTCTCCACTATACTCGCCCGCATAGAAGCGTGCCTTAACTCTAGACCACTTACTTCCTTAACCGATGGCATAGATGACCCTAGCGCCCTTACTCCCGGGCACTTCCTCATCGGCGGTCCTTTGTTGTCTCTTGCTGAGCCCGACGAAGTCGAAAATAAAACGTCCTTGTTGAACCGTTGGAGACGTATAAAGTTGATTTCTCAAGAATTTTGTAGGCGCTGGAAAATGGAGTATCTCAAGGAGCTCCATAAACGCACTAAGTGGAAAGTGGCTCAAAACGATCTACAACTTGATGATATTGTGGTGCTACATTCTGACTCACTTGCTCCAAATGAGTGGCGCATGGGTCGCGTGGTAAAATTACACTTTGGACAGGACAATAGGGTTCGAGTGGTGGACTTGAAAACCCTGAACGGCGTGATAACGCGTCCTGTACACAAATTAGTACTCCTTCCTCGTCCCGAATAAACTATGCTCTATAGACCAGCTTACGTTGTCACACTTAATGATGTCTTACTCTATGAAAATACGTTTACCCATTTTATTGTCGCCTAACCATGCCTTACACTTTCTTACAGATGAGTTACAATAATGCCTTTAAGTGCCCACTTTGTCACACTCGGCACTCTTTCCGACACTGTCGCAGCTTTCTTCAGGCGACGCCTTCAGCGAAGGACGCCATTGTGCGCAAGTATCAAGGCTGCGTAAATTGTCTTGGCCTGGGTCATCGCGTTATTACTTGCCCTTGGAACGAAGGCTGTCGGGTATGCAATTTGGCCCATCACACCTGGTTGCACCCTCTTGATGTGAACCGGGAGGTTTGGTTGCGTATGACCGCCGAAGTCATGATGCATCTCCCGGGACTGGATGAAACACCAAGGAAAGTTCGTGTCCTTATCGACCCTCTTTACGATGAAAGCTCACTCGAACTGGGCTCTCCCAGCAATTTTGTGATGTACCCGAGCCCTGCCACTGTTGTGCTGACATCGACAAACAACAATGTTCGGACGTACACCGCCAAACTTAACGTCGAGCTTGAGTCCGAGTTGTTATCGCCACGTCACGCCGTCGATTTGCAGTGCGTAAAAAAAGTTTACCCAAAGAAGGCGATAGCGGATCCCCATTTTGAAACACCGGGAAAGTATAATGTGGTCTTGGGAAAATCAGCATCTAATGGAATTTTCTTGGGCCTACCCATCATTGAACCAGGCATGCCGTACGCTCAAAACACCATCTTTGGCTGGACCTTTTTCGGCGACGTTGCCCGGAAGAAGTAACTGTTTCCCAACAATTCCTACTTACCCGATGAAAGTTATCAGTATTTGTTACGATACCATGAAGACTGAAGACCGTGGAGCTGGTTCCTTATTTTTATTAATTTTTAATTTGTTTAGTTTTTTCTAATTTTCTAACGTTTTATATAATGTCAAAATTAATTTCATAGTATACTTTAGTTGGGACCTTGTCCCAAGGGGGGGAAGATGTTCATGGGAAAAGCGCTACAAGCGCAGCACTAATGTTCGCCCTCGAAGGCAATTCCCATGTACGTCGTCTCTCCTTTTTTTCTATACTGGCAATGCCATATCACTGGTTCTGCTTTGATCAATATTTTCCTGCTCTCTTGCTCTCAGAGTAAGAACAAGGGTTCGATGAGAAGAAGAAGAATCAGCATCTTCTATTAGTTTTCGAAGTTTTTTATCATTGTCGTTTTTTTTGCCTTTGACCAAGAAGGTCGTTAAAATAAAATTGTGCCCAGAATTGTACAAAACAATAAAAGTGAAGTAAAAATTATTGTGCGTTTTATTGTAAAGCAACGATCGACACAGTGGTAGCAGACCGTATTGAGACATAATTTGTTGAGGCTGCAAAGGAACCCTTGCACAAGTAGGAGCATTTACCCGAGCCAGAAGTGCAGGTAACCAGTCGATCAGGGAAATTGACTCCGTGGTGACCGACTGTAGCAAAGTTGTCCCGTCAACACACACATTCGACCCTTTGTGGGGGAGGTAGGAATGGTCCGATCTCTACCATCTTTAAAACATATCTTGTGTTGATGGAAATAGTGAGATGTGTCAAGTCCGAAGGAAATCGGATGTCAATTTCCTGTTCTATGAGCTTCATGAATATTGAAAATGTTGACCCTATTTGGGAGGAGGTACCAGAAAGAGTGGACCGATATATTCCATTTTCACATCAGACCTTAGGTTGATAAAAATTTTGTGATGTGTGTAATTTGAAGATAATGGGACTCTTGTATCACATTTTATAAGAGTTATATTTATTCCGTTTTGCCCGTATCAAAAAATAAAAACCATCTGTAGCCATATGACTGACAAGGAATTCGAATTCCGATTATCTTCACAGTTGACATATCCCAAACGCAAGATCTGTTGTGAAGATGCTAGATATCGGTTTACTCTTTCTAGTACTTCTTCCTCAACGGGTCAACATTTTGAATAAAGAAAAATCTATGAACTGATCATCGGTTCCCTTTCATATTTCACATCCCTATCTCAATATTTTTATAAATACTAGAAATAGGATATATCGATCTACTCCCAATGGTACCCCCCTTACAAAGGGGCTAAATTTCTAAATAATCAACACGTGCATAAAGTGATACGGGGATATACAAAAGGTGGACATTTTTATAACCAATTCGCAAAAAAATTGGAAATAATTATTCGTGTGAAAATAGAATATTTCGGTGCAATATATCTGGTGGTTCTCGCACATTTCAAATTTTCCGAAAACTATCACATATTTCATATAAAGTGAAGCAACTGGACAATATTGGCCCACTCCCTCGGAACCTCCCCCATCAAAGGTCAATAGTTTTAATAATCATAACGCAAGTAAAAATATATTTAAATAAACGAACATTATATAAATATATCGGCAAAACCGACTTCTTAACTTGTTTGTAATCAACATTTATATCCTCTATAGTTCTTGATAAATCTTCTAAAAATTCCATGTTTATATCTATGAGGATCCTTGAAAAAAAGATATTTTTAAAAATATGATCTGGAAAATCTCTGGTCCTTGAAAAATATTTTTATACCTTCTTTAAGAAGTATTTTTAAAAAATACACCCCATAGCCCTTGAATAAATATTTTGTGAAAATTGTACGAATATTTCTTTTTTTGACAAACTTTAAAATATCCATGCATATGGCCCAGATGGCCCTTGATTTTGTTTATTTATTTAATTAATTTATTTTTTTTTTTTTCAAAAATCCACGTATTCGTCGTTTATGGTCTTGGAATATCCTTAGAAATCCTCGTTTTGACCTAGTACGGCGCTTTAAAAATATTTTCTAAAAATCGAAATATGTCTGCGAAAATTATTTTTTAAAAAATTGAAGCTGTTCCTCCGAAATACGGATCTGCATAAACACTGATGTCATAAATAAAATATCGGTTTTATCGGTGTGGTCATTGATTGTTTGCCCATACTAAAGCAAGTGTTTTAATATTATAAAAACGCAAAACTATGAATGAAATCAAGGACCCTATTTAAATAATAAACAGTAGTTCTTGTTATTTCCAAAGAAAAAAAGCACAGAAATACAGAAGCCAAACTAGGTCACTTAGTTAGTTTTTTCTAGTTTTCGTTTTCGTTTCGTTTTTTTTTTTTTTTTAATTTTTCTAAAAGCGCAAAAACTTGTCATGACTTTCTTTTCATCTGCAATTATTTGCTTGAGAAAACGCCCTCCTGCATTCAGTCGCGGGGTTTTTTCTCTCCTCCATTCTTCTCTGTTTGATATGACACAGCATCAATTGGGAATTCATATTTCGTCAAGGTACTTGACATCCTTGATGCATTAATGCATTTAATGTGTAATGATTTGTATTTGTGCAACACGTTTCTCTCCCTCCCTCTCCCCTTCTCACTCTCTTTCGCTTTGTGTGAATGGTAATCTCTCCAGGGAGATTATGATGTACCTGCCCCGTTCGTTTGTCAAGTAGCTACCGTATCGTTGTCTTTCAAATTTTGCATTACAAATTAACCTAATTTAAGATGAATGTACGGGTGTGTGTGTGTGTGAGTGCGAATGCATGTAAATGGCATGTCGTCTATATCTTAAAGAGAGCATCTGATTAAAATCTACTCAAGTTAAGTGCAAGAGTCAAACACACACACATGTGTAACACTTTGAAGTTGATGAAGATGATTCTGTTGCAGAGAATCATCAAGTGATGACAGGTGATAGATATCGAAGGGAGGAAATCAGAGCAGAAGGAGTTTAAAAAGAAAGTGTCGCACACCAAGTGTTTGTCAAAGGTTTATTAGCCTAATTTACATGATAAATAAAATATGTCCCCCTCCCTCTGCTGTTTAATTAGATACAAAATCTGTTCTTCTGGTGTGGTTCTTAAAGTTATGGATTATTTGTATTTCAAATTATCCACAAAAGGTGGTGGTTATAGGATGGAAGTTTGCAATTAGAGTTATCATCATCAAGACATGGACATTTAATGCTGATGGTAGGACGTAATTTTGGAAATTAATATTAAAAAAAAAAAAATAATTAATAAAGAATAAAAAAATAAAATAAAATAATACTAATAATATTGTTTGGGAAAAATTGAAATTTATTCAAATTATTATAGTTTACCATTAAACATCAAGTGAAATATCGGTTTAGACCACCACAGTAATTCTTAATGGTTTCAAATCAATGGTCTTTTGAAACCTAAACAAAATATTTTGGAAGTTCTTCGTTTACAACTCAGTTGAAGGACCGTAAGTCTCAGATTTGTAAACATGACAGATTTGTTTTAAGGATTAAGAAGGTTACAAAAAGTCGATATTTAAAAAATAAGCAACTGTAGTGGTAATAGTGGTAGTGGAGCTTTTAAAATTACTGCCCCAAATCAAATCAAAACATTTTTTAGATTTTAGTTTTACCAAAATATTTAAAGCTTTTTGAAAATGATCGTCTATGTGTATTCTGTTATCTATACCGCCGTCCTTCAACCTTCAAAATGACAATCTCCCACTTTTAATGACACTTTGTAGAAGGATGTCTCTTAATTGTGAATATTTGGTAAGGATAATTTTTTTTATCTGGATAGAATTAACTGACCACGCTAAATGTCGATTTTTTAGGACTTTCTGATCCACAGTAGCGGATTTTTTTTTAGAACACCCAAACTTTAATCGCAGAATTTTAAAAGAAAACTCTGTCTCTTAATCGTGGAGTTTTTAATCTTACAGTTTCCCCTACTTAAGGACCTTCCATATCCTTATCGTGATTTTTTTTAAAGGTCTTTCAGTCTCCTAATCGTCGACTTTTCAAAGGAGCGGTCTATCCCCTAATTGTTTCTTTTTTTTTAAGGTCCTACTGTTCGTTCATTGTGGATATTTTAAAAGAATTCTCTGATCTCTATTCATGAATTTTTTAAAAGGACTCTTCCACCTTTTATCAGGGTTTTTTTAAAGTACTCTTTGACCTTTTATC